GTATTTGTCTCAATAGCTCTCCTGGGCATGAATTCTGTAAGTTATTTCAAACAAAAGAAATCACTTCTTTTGTTTCAAATTTACTCTGCTTTAATTGAACTGAGAATTGTGATTCTTCACTCTTGGTTGTGGCAACAGAAAACTTTCCTAATTGAATTCAATATAGTCCAATACCACATTTGAAAAAAATCTTCCATTTGTAGAAACAAAATCTCTAATTTGATATGTGCCCTTGAAGTCATGAATTGATTACTGTATTCAACATACCAGAACATGTTCATCCAAATGTTCCCTCCTTCCAGGTGACACTTCTGAGAAGCTGTGCACTTATTTCAATAATGCTGCTTTTATTGGAATATTCAGGAACTTCCTGCTAGAATTCTCTTCAGAGTCTGTGGGACACTGTTTACTTATCCTCCTCAGACAACTCTGTCTTTTGATGGTGAATGTGACTTTTGGAAACTGCTAATAGTCACTGGAAGTCAAGTCTGTGGGTTATATTGGGGTGATGCTTCAGGAAAAGAATGAGGTGTAAAAACAATGTAACAAAATGGATTTTCTAACTTGTGGTTCATAAACTTTTCCTGACTACAGTTCTAAAACAGGAGTTTCAAAAATCTTTTGAACTCTGGGAGCAGTAATAAAATCAGTTTGCAGCCTCCCAAGGTGACTATTTTGAATGCAACACTCATTCTGGGAATATAAATTCTGGTCTATGTGGTGAAATGAAACTAGTTCCAATGGCTTTAAAGTCATAGATTGTTTTCAACATAATAATTTCGATTCATGTCTAGGAATTCCAGCCTATGGAAAAACTAAATATCCTTAGGCTTTACTTAACAGCCCAACCTTAACCGACCTTAAATAGTGTGTAAAATGGCTCAAGCCAGAGAGCCCTAGCCTTCCTTCACAAGAGCATATATTCGTAGTGCCCCCTAAAGGCTCAGCTAAAGGCTCATAAAGACCATTTCAACTAAGAAACCTGTGTAGATGACTTTTTAAGAATATCTAGATGATTTCTTATCTTTATAAAATGATGTATCATAAGGCAATTAAAAAAATTTTAATGTTACTTTCAAAATTTCTTTATATCAAAACAATCTTGCAAATTGAATACATAAGTCAGCTAAATTTTTAATCACACACGAACCTTCCCCAGTCCTTTGCACACCTACCAGTAACATTAAACATAAAAGTAATATTAATAATAACAATAAATAGCTGGTATTTATTATATGCTTCCTGTATGGGGTCCCGAATCATTCAGTTTACATAGCGCTTCTTATTTTATCCTCATAGAAACCCTATGATCTTCTCTGTTTAACACATAAGTAAAGTGAGACTTTGAACAGCTGAGTAACTTGCACGACCTGTAGTTACGATGTGGAAAACCTGGAGTTTGAACCCAGATCCACATGCCCCATATACCTGTGGACTTCTCTGCCTTCTAGGACTCTCAGTGTGACACTGGTGGCACTTCAGGGATCCCTAACATTTTTGCCCCTATGAAAGCACAGAGATTGAAGATATCTTAGAGATCTTTTCCAATCCTTATGTACAAAACTTGGCTTCCTGTTTTTAAATGTTCCTCTGGAAAGAAATTGTTTACCCAAACAATTCAAGAGTTTAGTAATGTCTATTGTTCATATTAAACTCCCCTAGTTTGAAATAGTGTTTCTTTCCTTGTTCTAGAGTCAGAGAAAATGGAGCACATGTAATGGCCATCCCATGTCTAAGGTCCATGGCTTGGACATACCTAGGTCTTTCCCAGTCTTAGTAACTTCAAATTCTCTTTTCTCAGCTACTATCTTCTGCCCTTCACCTTTCTATTGCTTTTATGACTTTTTCCTCTAAAATCCCTCCAACTTCTCCCTTTTAAATGATAAAGCCAGAAGTTGAATAAAATTTTCCAGGGTCTGGCCAGGGTTGTGTCTGCAACCATCTATGCTCTTATTCATGCGTCCTTCGATTCTCAGGTGTTTGCACAGCAGAGAGTGGCCTGTGCTGGGCCTGTTACTGAGCAGGTCTAACACTGTGTGGATCTATCATCCTTCGCTCCACAGGACCAGGTGAATCCCCTGCACAGCTGGAAAAGCCTGGTGCACAGCAGTGCTTTGCAAACTTCCTGCAGGCCCCAGATTCCTGAGGGTCTCGGGCCAGCTGCTGGTTTGGGGGGTGGGTGGGTGAGTTGGCAGCCTTCTACCCAAGTCTCATTTAAACCAGGGCAGCTTTACTCTCAGTTGTCTAATATGTAAGAGTTGCCATAGAATATTATTGGGAATGATAAGAGGTCATAGTTCTAAAGAGAGATATATATATACATATAAATATATGTATATATTTGGCAGCAAGCCCGGTATAAAGAGATGGTGAGTAGAGGTCAACTCCAGACTCATGTACTTGTTACCTCTGGGCGGTTTTTCCTCTTCAGTGAAATGTGGATAATCAAGCTTACTTTGAGGGATAAGGTGTGGGGATTGAGGGAACTCACACAAAGTCATCTTTTAAAAATATAAATCCGATTATTTCTTCCCCTACTGAAACCCATTCAGTGGCTTCCTTTGTATTGAGAATAAAACCCAGCCCTTTTCAGCATCCTGCCAGCCTTCGTGATTTGGCCCCTGCCCATTTTCCCGGCTTCATCTCAAACCACACCTCCTCTCCTCACTCAGCTCCAGCCACACCAATGTCCTCTCAGTTCAACGAGACGTTTTTGTCCCGGAATCTCAGCTAGTACCACAGTGCTGCCTGGTGGGCCTGCCGCTCAGGCTCCCTCTGTGTCCTGACAGCTCCTTATCATCCTTTGGCTCACAGCTCCAACGTCAAAGAGGACTTTGTGGCCACGCTAGCAGATTCCTTGCTTTATTTCCTTTAAAATGCTGCAATTCTCAGACACCTTGGTCCTTTGTTTGTTCACGTTTTTATTGTCAGTCTCTCAGACCAAATAGTAAACATGATGGGTCTCCCTGTTCTGCACTGTGTCCTGAGCCTGGCCCGGTGCTTGGCACTGACCACATGCCCAGGGAAGCTTGTCAGATGAATACATGCATGAGTGCATGGGAAAACACAGAGTCCGGCTGGGGTGCTGCCATCACCTGGAGTTGTAACTATTACCACCACATAGCATTTTATGATTGCACCTTTAGATTTCTGAGAATGGGGAAATAAGTTAAACAAACTCAAAAAATTGTAACATAGATAGAATATATATATAAATGTGAATGGCTATTATTTTCCTTGTCATAATTTACAATGGGAAAGAAATGTATTTATACATGTTGCCATGTGCAGTGGGAGAACAGGCTGGTAAATTTTCTGAATGTGCCCGCAAGGTCAGACTGCAAATACCCACCCACATACAAGGTCAGAGGGCCATTTTCTAACATGGGGAGGGTGTTTGTAACTTTCCTTCAATTTGTATACACACGATAGATAGTTGTACATAAATAGACATTCAGCGGTTCCAGCAAAATTCCTATTGCCAAAGAGATGAAAAACATCAGAGTAAGCTGTAAAAAATGCTTGGTTTTTCAAATGTAGAAATGGCAACTTGCAGCATTTACACAAATTGCCGTATACTGCGGGTTGCAACTCAGAATGAAGAGTAAGAAAAGTTGCAGCTAAGAGCAGATCTGAAGACATTTGTTTTGAAAGTAAAGGCTTATCAGTATTCTAGCATTCTGTAGAACATCAGATGCCCTGGATTGGAGTTGAGACTTTATGTATTGATTTCTCATATATAAAATGCTGTGACTAAAACTATTTAAAATGTTCAAGAAGAAACTTACCTTGAATGAAGTAAGGAGGATTCATTTCTCAAAGAGTCCCCCTTACATTTTGGGCATATTGATCTGAATAATATCAATGTGGCTATTTAACTGAATGGCTGGATGGGTCTAATTTTGTACCTTATATTTTTGCTATAATTTTATGCACATTCTGTGCAGTCTATAAATTTATAGAAATGTGAGACAGTATCAGCAGGAAATATAAATAGGTTCAAGAGTAGTGAGATAATTTAGAAAGTGTGAGATCCATGATGAGAGAGTACAGGGAGCTAGAAATGTTAAAGTTAAATAATAAATATTAAGTTTTCCCATCTCATGTCTTAGAAGTAGAAAATGATGTTGCATCAGGCCAACAGTGCACTGAAATCTTACACATTTATATTTTGTGCTCTCTTTTCTTCTCTGCATCAGTATATTCTGTGTATATTTTCCCTAATAAAAACTAATTTATATAATTATTTTAGGCTTGTTGGAAGGGGAATAGGTATTTATGGATAATAGAGGTAACATATTTTTGTGAGTGAATGGAATGAGTCCACAGCCCCAATCCACACTGAGCCAAGTAACAGCCAAATGCAGATTTGAGATAACACAGTGTCAGGTACTTATAAATTCAGCCCTGTCTTTGGGGTTACCTCCCTGAGAAATCTATAAAGGAAAATATATCACTAATAACCTGAGTCTAGAGTCAGCTCTTGAGTATTTATACAAAAAAAGACTAGTGTTTAAGATATTCTAAACGTAAAATATGTTTAAGTGTTTTCATTTTCAAATGAAAAGATGCAGCTTTTTTTTTTGGAGGGGGCAGACTTACATCTTAATGATGCTATAATGAAGCTAGAATTTAAGGCAGTTGACATCTCCTCAACAAAGGTCAACAGACAGGGTGCTGGGGAGGAGGCCAACTTAGAGGGGTTATGGAGAAACAGAAAATTGACTCAGGATTAACAATGTGCTGTGACTAATCCACAAAACCAATAATCCACAGGTGGACAGTATTTCACAAAAGACCCACAGGAAGCTGCTCTGTTCTTCTAGGTATGAACAAATATTTCCAAAACAAGTAACTTTGTTTAGGATTTACTTTTTGTTTTTTTGACAAAGAGGGTTGTGGAGAAATGCTAAAGCGATCTTTTATGCTCTTTAAATGCCCATCAGAGTCTGCAATAAGATGGCCATGATCCATCATAATACCACACAACTGCACGTTACCTTGGATACAAGGCTGGCTCTGTATGCTGCTAGTTGCTTCAGGTACTCCTTCTTTGCAGCCTCGGTTTTCTTTTTATAGACCTGTAGCAACAACAAAGAGTTTTAAATTAGAAAGTGCATCTGCTTTTGTTTCCAGAGATGTACAATGCAGAATCATAATTGCATGCCTGTGTGTGTGAGTGACAAACACACACAACATAATATAATAATATATTTCTCCCCAAAGATTGTGTTTTCTTATGGAAACAGATTTTTAAGAAGTGTGGCAATAGACTAGATAAGAAGATAAGCCAGAGTAAAATTTTCCATTTTACATTAAGCATATGAAAGGATTTATCTGGGTTACTTTGAGTGGAGGTGGTTGGCTTAGAAGGATAGTATTGATGAAGGTTCCCAGGGAAACCACATGCAAGTAAAAAAGCCATTCATATTTATATAATGGGCAGATAATTCTACAGTGCATACAAATCCTGATATACATGTTTCATGCTAAATATAAAAACAAGGACAGAATTCAAAGATGACCAGTTATGTTCAGTAAGTACATTAACAGAACAGTACTGAGTTTGCAGGTTTGTCACTACTTAAAAATTTTAGCTTTCAAGTTCTATTTTCAAAGACTCGGGAATTGGTGATGGTAGTCAAAGACACATTTGGGAGTGGACCGGGGTCCCTGAGAGGCTGAGGACTGCATGTGTGCTATGCCGCGCAGCCTGCTGTGGTCCTGTCCTTTGCAACGAAAACCTGGATGACACGGATCTGTCACCTCATTGTGAAAAGGTAAAAATGTTCTGAAAGGAACTTCAGCTTCCAGAAGCTTTTCATTTTTCAGAGGGAATCATCTTGAAAATAAATGTAAAATCATGTAAATTGAGCAAAAGTACTGAAAAATGACTTACTGGTATGCTAAAGGTCACATCACTAAGTTAAATAGAAAGGAGTCATTAGAGTCGAAAAATGAAAGATTACCAAAGTGAGCACGCATGGCTGTCTGCTACCATTAAGTTGATACTTTCAAGGCTTTAGAGTCTGTTTTTGGCAATCTTTTGAAATTAGCCCTAAAGAACAAACTATTTTTTACCATTTACTCTGTAAATGGTAATGCATTTTCATTGATACAACTCTTCTAAATTTCCCACATCTGAATTTTATAGCAGGGAATGAGGCTTGGTGAATGTTTTGTAACACTGAGCTCAAAAACAGACAGAGATTAGTATTGAAAAATGGCGGCTTTAGGTTAGTAAGAGTAGTTAAATGTAAATTATGTCCAAAGACCAAATATCTGCCAAAATTGGCAGTAGAGGTGAATTTATGGTTTCTGATGCCAAAGGTGGTTTGCTGAGCCAAGGCCCCAGCTGTGAAAATCAGTGTGAGAAATAGTATTTACTCATGAATGTATTAATTAAAGCATAACATTTTACTTAAGGTAAACAAATAACTAACCTTGTCAACAGAAGTATAAATTATAAAGGACCCTATGAAATGAATGTGCTGATTGTTCTCCATTAGGGATGTCTTCAGTCTAGACTTGTGTATTTGGCATTGTGGTATAATAAAAGGCAATTAGAGTAAGGCAATTAAGATTCTGTATAATAGTATCACACAATCATTATGCCATCTTTACTAAATGTGAAACTAAAGAAATTCAAAAGTTTTTTAGTAAAAAGCCAATAAATCCTTTGGTTCAAGTACGAAAGTATTCTCAATTTACTAAGCTAATTATTGGAAGTCAAACTCAGATTCTTTCATGGAAATCCGCACATAAATAAATGCTAGTGTACAGCAAATGTACAACAAATTTAGTAGTATGACCCATATATATTACATGCCTTGGTTTAGCCAAAATCAGAAATATAGAGCTCTCCTGCTTTTCATTTATTTATTATTTTCCTAAGAGACAGATTTCTGTTTATAGTTTTTCTTTCCATCTTTTCTCTGAGACATAATTTATAATTAATGACTTTGAACTAACAATGTTTACATTTACTTTTACTACCTTAAAACTGTTTTGAAGGGGTTCTCCTCCCACACAGATAGAAATCCTATTCAGGACCCTGAAGCAAATGTTTAGTAAGTGTATCTTTGATGGTAATCTGCATCTGTATACTCAAAGCATTTCTAGCATGTTTTTATTAATATGCTACTCCAAGTGTTCCCCCAGTCAGCTAGGAAAGGTTCTTTCAGCTTCCAAAGGCAAATATAACACCCTTTGGTCCATAGCATTACCCAAAACATCATTTTCTAAGTAGCAGCAGATAAGATGGTGTTGCCAGATGGCCTGATTGCAGCATCCATCATCTTCTTGCATATATTTGGTTTCTACTGAAACAGCAACAGTGTTATTACAGTGCTATGCCTCTGTTGGGCTCCCAGTAGTTAACATCCATACAAAGTGTTAACTTTCCTGAAATTTGGTGATTAACAACCACAGGAGAAAGGTGGCTAACACAAAGTGTTTCAGGCTGAATATGCGCCTCCTGGTTTCAGCTGGGGATCGATGTTGTTAGGGGATACCTGACTAGCATTCAGAGTGCCCTGTTTTCTACAAATGGCTCCCTATTGCCTATTGATGACTGGCTATGTGGGATCATCGCACAAGTGCCTAAATACCACTTTAGAAAAGAGTAAACCCATCACGTCACATTACATGGATTGATGGATTCGCTCTTCCCTGAATAGCTGCAGATGTTCAGAGGGAAGATTCAAAGGGTGGTAATTTCAGGAGGTGTACTTCTGTAATTATGTTTAAAGGGGAGCAGCCCAGACCAAATTAAAATCTGAGGTGGTTTCCCTGGCAGTAATTTAGAACCTCCACCTTTGAGAACTACCTAATGGCTCCAGTATTATACACCCTGTATATCTTTCTGCTGCAAACTTCTAAAATTGCACCAAGATGCTTTTTGAATTCTGAATTTGATGGAAATGTCTGAAGAGATGCCTCAAATGTATGAGAGTGATAAGAATAGGTAAGAATTACACATACAAGGTAAGTGGGGAAATTCTTACTTAGGACAGATATTTAAAAATCCTCAGTAAAATGTTCCTCAAAAACATTTCATATCTTCTATTCATGGATGGAGAAGGTCATCTACTGGTAGAAACCAACGATGACGTTGACTGTGTTTGGCAATGAGCAGCCCACGGCAACGATCTGACCTAACCCAGGAGGATGGGTCTGGCTCATGTCCACGTTACGTTTGGGAAAGACAAATATTTTAAAGATACGTGATTCATACAGTAAATATTAGTACTCAGTTGAGCTACAAAATGGCTTCCAAATGGTCTCCAGCTGTTTGAAATAAAGTGCAAAGTTGGCCAGATGAGGATTTAAAAATCATAATACATCATTTATCATTTCCCCCAGCTCATCCAAACACTTTTGAATTCATCCTGTCCTAACTTAGTTATATGCTGCAGTTTGTTATTCTAAGAAAGCTACTATATCCTATCTAAGGAGTGCATCTCAGTGGTTAAACGAAAACATATATATAGTAACTAAAACTAAGACATATGTAGATAGACATCAAATAGCAATTCTAGAGAAACCAAATCCTGTTCATGTAATCTATTGATTCACTGAACCATTTTTGAAATTCTTTTAATACCATGTTTTTATAGGCTAATAATCCCTAATTAAAATCAGCAGCTCAATATCAATGCCTGTGGTAAACTCAAATAGAAAAAATTCTAATGCAATCTGTCATTTTACGCTTTTACTTTCCACTCTTTCCCCAAACAAACAATCCATCTAACTCATACAAAACACAAAATCTTAAAAATACCATTTAATTCTTTCTTCCTTCCTTCCATTCTGTTCTTGCCTTTAGTTAATTTCTGGTGTTGGTTTATTTCAACCAAGCCTTCAAAGTCATAATAAGAAAAAATGTACAATTCTTACAATTCTGGATTCCAGTTAAATACTATAAAAAAATCTAAAAGCATTTTTGTTTGGTTGACTTCAAATGTAGTTTTTTTCCCACTATAAATTCATATTTACTAGAAAATAATAAGAAATACAGGTGTGTACAGGAAGTTACAATTTTATCATAATTCCCTGACATATACTTTAGAAATTAATGTTTGCAGCTTCTTTCAATGCTGTTATTATTTAGGACAGTTAGAGAAAATGCATTTGTATTTTATATAGAACTAAGTCCTTATGTGCAGTTAAATTTTTATCTTGTGTAACTTGCTCAGCATTTTCTTAAGCATTCCAGAACTCAATGAACTTTATAAAGTAGTACTCAGACGACTGAAAATACACATTGTGACAAAAATCTTGCTATCAATTTTCCCTAACCATCTGATCCAACAAAATGGCCTTGTTGCCTGTTTTGGGAATGGCAGGTATCAGAGCAAGCTCCTTGTCTGAAAAAATGGCTACAAACTATATACATAAAGTATATCTTTTGATTTATTAAGTGAGGATGACTGGGGCAAGTATGTTGTTCAATTACACTAAACAATATATGGAGTGTCTTAATATGTGCCTGCTGTGCTGTGAGACTCTGAAGCTACAGAAACAAATAAAGGCATTAAAAATATACCTCTGTTGTGTACATTTCTTTTTTCACACATTATATATATACACATATATATGTGTATGTATATTGTCTTCAATGCTTTCAACAAGAATGGTATTATTACCCCCATTTTACAGATGAGAAAATTAGAATGGGTAGTTATTTTAACCAGTGTCTTATAGCAAATATGGCAGAACCATGGTATGAATCAAATTGACCTGGTATCAAAGATTCGTCTTTGTTCACTCAATGGCTCCTCCTAGCTATGAGGGAAGTCCCCTGGATGCTCTTCTTCAGACCCCCAGCTGCAGGGCCTGCTCTTCTCTGTTTTCAGCTGAAGCCCCAGATATAGGTGCTAGTAGGTGTTCACAGCAGGTGTTCAGGAAATATCTGTGATGGAGTGTATGACCCCTAGTCTCAGATTTCTCCTCCTGTGAGTATAAGCCTGAAGGCTCATGATAAAGTACTGAATTGTATCTTCTATGTTATAATGGACATCAAAGGAAATAGAAGATTTGATATACAGATATACAAGCTGCCCACCCCAAACATTTTTAG